GGTTTGGGGGTATATTATAGTATAATTATAGTAAGGAACTGCCAAAGCCCAATTCTACTTATTAAGGCCCCTATATTAGAGTTAGTCAGTCCGTCTAGCATAAGAGTCAGGGGGAAACTTGGCCGGGTTTAGGGTTTAGGGAGCTTGGCTCCACCATCGCAAGGTGGCATTCCTGACGATGTCGGTAGTTGTCAAAATTATGGTCCCTTTTGAGGTACCCTAAAAAATAGGTGCCGTATTAAAATAAGGACCCAAAAAGGGACCATAATTTTGACAACCACCCATGTAAATTGCAAAAGCAACGTGTTGCATGCCGGGGCAGGGGAGAGGGCAGGTATGGCTGACAGTGGGGAAGCTCCTGTCATTAGGTCCTGGCTCTGAAAGCTACAGGGTTTAGGGTTTAGGGTTTAGGGAAGTCAGTGGGCTCCACTGACGGTTCTCAGACAGCCACGAGCAAAGACTGCCAGGGCAGGAAGGGTTGTGGCCGGGCACTGGGCGGAACGAGAAAGCGACATCGTTTCGGAGTGGACTGCCAGTGTAGCCATAATAAAGAACGGCAGCAGCATCTTCCATATGAGACCAAGGCCTGCCCTAATTTGTTTGTTCTTGCAAAACGTCTGTCGCACACTATGCCCATTCTTCTGCCATCACCTTCGAAAACGATGTCATGCGATCTAGTCTTACTTTGCGTTTGCAGACTCCGCCATGTGTCTCACAAAGCTCAGGTGCGCCTCACACCGGCCCCGTTGAATTCCTCACACCTCTGCTCTTCTCGTGAAGCGAAGTCTTGTGCTGGCTATACAGGTCGAACAGCGCTCTTCAACCTTTGCCCCTCCATGTAGCATAAAACCCGCTAGCGCCCTTAAAAAACCTGTCGGTTTCAAAACCCCGCAGAAACCCGACACAACGCTTTTCCAAAACCCACAAAATCTTGTTCCAGTGCTCAAGGCCCTGTAACATCGCACAGGTCCCGACAACAAAGTTCGGCTCGTGGAAGTGGCTGCTGTCTTTGCAGAACCTAGGTAGTATTATTAGGGGTACCCCTTAAAGGGCACCCCTTCTGAACCCTACATTTGGCTCTCTTGAAAGGGACCTTATTGAGAGGGTATATATCCCCAAGGGTCTCCCTAATCCTAGCTCCCACAACCTGCTGAGCATCCTGCACGAACCCCACCCAACCTTTCCGACTTTCCGCATACATTCTGTGACATTGTCGGATGTGGAGCGATTCCAAAACCCGAAACCCTAGACCCCAAAAAGAAACCCCAAAAAGAAACCCTAAACCCTAAAAAGAAACCCTAAACACCAAAAAGAGACCCTACAAAGAAACCCTGAAAACCAAAAAGATACCCGAAAAAGAACCCCTAAACACAAAATGAAACTTTAAACCCCAAGAAGAAGCCCTAAGCCACTTCGAAGGTTGGCAGGTCCTCCGTGCAGTGCTGGCTGGTGCTGTGGCTTGCCGCTTTCGTCCTTGGCGCATGCCTGGCTCCGAGACAGGTTTTCTTGCAGTTTAGGGGTTAGGGGTTTAGGGTTTAGGGGTTTAGGGTATAGGGTTCAGTATCCAAAGATCTTTCCAGAATTTCGCACACAGAACAAGCAAGATCATCAGTTCGTGGCTGTTTGTGCATGTGAGCACAGTCACTGTGGGGTTTAATTGCACACTAACCCTTTGCATGCATTCACAGCACGTAAATGGATGAGCACACGCACACACACACACACACTGCTGCCCACAGGCATTACAGTACTGCATATCTGCATGCATCCGTGCATGCATGCACGCCTAATCAAGTGTATGTACGCTCATGCACATCTTTGTACCTTGAGGTGTTCTTGCATATGTGGATGGTTGTCAAAATTATGGTCCCTTTTGGGGTACCCTAAATAATAGGTGCCGTATTATAATAAGGACCCAAAACGGGACCATAATTTTGACAACCACCCATATGGACATCTGGAGCCTTCCCATCGCAAACCATTGGACGAAAACGTCCCCACTCCTTGACACCAGAATGTACTTGGAGGTTCATGGGTAGTTATAAGTGGGTTATAAGTCCCCTAATATGGGTTATAATTATAGTTACCCTACTTATAACCCTACTTATAACTACCCATGAACCTCCAAGTAGGGCCTGAATGCTAGAATAGGGGATCATGCCATACAATAGTTCTAATAACCCGGCAGTAGTAATGCAGTAGTAATATCTATGTATTCAACACTGAACCCTAGACGTAAACGCAAAGCATGTCAACTGTTTGCAGGATCTGCTGGCCCCTGGCGTGGATGTCATGGGTTTGGCTCCTCGCAATGACCTCGGCATATACCAGAGAGCGATCGCGTCCTTCATCTTCTGCTTGCAGGGGAAGCTCAGTTCAGGGTTTAGTATTTGGGGCGTAGGGATGTTGAATCTTCGGTCTCAGACGTTCAACGACACGGACTAGTGACGAGATGAGAAATAGCCATGTAAGCTACGATGTCCTCAGTCGAAGACATCTGGTGATGTTTGGATCCTCGTGCGCTAAATGATTCGAAGATGTCACCTGATATTTATAGTGTTTTTCGCCAAAATGCTATCACTGGGTCCTTCCAATCCTTGAGAGCCCTAGAAATATCCTCCAAAACCTTAAAAAACCTCTTCATGGGACGTGAGGGGTAACTGCCATCTTCCTAAAGTTTGCAAACTGCCCGATCTCGGGTCAGTAGCCGAGCCGGTGTAATATGGAAGTCTCACTGATGCATATCAGTTATGGTAATAACACTAATGAGTAATGTCCCCTTCTACTTTCTACTATCTTCCTCAAGGCCCCCACATAACACATTGGCATACAAAACATATGATCATAATAACATTAGAAAACATGCTATAAAGCAATATGATATCATATGATGTAATATAACAAGTTTTAATGCAAAACAAGTAACATGATATGCAATAGAACATACTACGACATGATATGTTTCAATAGCAGATCATATTTATATGATATCACAACATGTTCATTTCAATTGATTTCCTACCATATGGCATCATACAGTATCATAGAACATAGCAAGGTACAATGCAAGACCACACGGTATAATATACTTTGGCCCAGCACAATATGATATCAATATAAAGTATAGCATCATATGAAACAGCACAATGCTTTTCTTTCGTCAAAATACAAACTATTCTAAAATACCACCTAAGACAATATAGTTCGATACAGCAATTAAAAAATGTAACATAAAGGTTATATTACCGTAATATCAGACAGTAGAACATGGTATGATATAACGTAACAGAGTATGACATACTGCGGAGACGACCGAAATACAGTATAATATTACAGTATATTATATGACATAGCGCAGCAAAAATCTGATCTACAATAATATAGAACAGAATAGAATATAGTGTAACATCGTGTAACATAATCTCAACAGATTATAGGATAACAAGACGTAATGAAATTTTATATAACATAACAAGATTAAACATAATTAGAATATGCTGTAATACAATAAGATGGAATAGAACATAGAGTAAGTAAAAAGCACACAGACTAAGGCTCCTGGCTCCTCTGACGCCTTGTTTGCACAGGACTTGAGCTCGCGCAAGCCCCAGTGGCGCGACAATGGTAGGGTTGTCAGGGCGGTTTAGGTTAAGGAAATGTTAAGAAGAGGCGCCTAAATGATTACCAATACTGTTTTTTTTGTTTTTTTTTTGGGGGGGGGTTCCTGATTATAGTTACAGTATAATACAGAATCCTATTCTAATTATTAAGGCCCCCTCATTAGGGCTGCTCCGGGTTCTAGTTAGTCTGTGATCGGCTTTCCTGGTGTTAGGGTTTAAGGTTTGGGGCTTAAGGTTTAGGGTTTAAGGTTTAGGGTTTAAGGGTTTAGGGTTTAGGGGAATATTTCTCGTGCTTCTATATGTATATATATATATACACATATATTTACATATATATATATATATTCAGAAGCACACAGTGCATGGGATGTACAATTGGCAGCAAAAGAAAGACGGTCATAGGCAGATGTGTATATGTGTATACACATATCTTTTGCATACCTATATATATGTATATGTGTGTGTGTGCAAGCAAACAGACACATAGATAAGTAGATAAGCGGTCAGGGTTCCCCAGCTTGAGATTTCTGGTTGGGTGCTCTCGGTTGTGGGAGCTCCCGAGATTGGAGACCTGAATTGATTCCTGCACCTATGGTCGGGGTTGAGGGTTCAGGGTTGAGGGTTTAGGGTTTAGGGTTGAGGGTTTAGGGCTGAGGGTTGAGGGTTTAGGGTTTAGGGGGATTTGTAAAGTCAGATACCCAAGAAAAGCATTTGGCAGAAGTGCTCCATGCTGATCCCTCCAGGAATATTAACTCTGTGCAGGTTATCGCTCAGCCTTTCCAATCTTCTTCGCAGGCGTTGGAAGTAGAAGCAATCTGTTCCCGGAACTGGGAGGATTCCTGATGCTTGGGGAAACCCTAAACCCTAAAACCCTAAACCCTTCCTGAAGATCCTTGTGCTTAAAGATCCTGGAAAGCCGTTTCTTAAGCTCTAATGTAGGGGCCTTAATAATTAGAATAGGGTTTTGGGGGTTCCTTATTATAAATATAGTATGATATACCCTAAACCCTAAACCTTCTTAGAGTTATTGTATGATATACCCCAAAGCCCTACTCTAATTAGTAAGGCCCCTGCATTAAGCTAGGGGTCTTCCCTTGCTCTTAAGCTTTTGGATTTCCTAGACTCGGCTGAAGTAGTGTCCCTGTGCAGCTGAAACTCCAAGCGATGTGAACGGTCTAGGGTTTAGGGTTTAGGGTTTAGGGTATTAGGGTTTAGGGTTTAGGGTTTAGGGTATTAGGGTCTAGGGTTTAGGGTTTAGGGTTTAGGCATGGACACGGCTGCGGCTTTGAGACCTTTAAAACCCACCTGATTAATGTAGGGTCCTAAATAATTACCATTGCTATTTGGGGGGGGGATCCTTATCAAAAAGTTATAGTAGAATATACACCAAAACCCTAGTCCAATTATTAAGGCCCCTAAACCCCAAGCCATAAACCCTAAAGCCCACCCAATTAGCGCAGTTTTTAGTGCTTTACTGAGGCGGGTCCCCTGGCTCTTGAGCTTGGCGGTGACGGCCCTCCTGTCAGAGCCTCTGGCGGCCGGGGAGGCGAGGTTCTCACCCTTTTAACTTTTAACTCCTAACCCCTAAACCCTAAA